CATGAGACATGTTGACTATAAGTTTATTATAAGGCCCGGCAGAGTAGGGAGACTAAGAAGAGGAAAGGAACAGGGTAAATGGCTGACCGCCATGGCCGGTCGCCGCAGAGAGAGCACATAGGTGAGAGAGAGAGTAGAGAAGAAGCAGAGAGGAAGCCAAAAGAGTAAATGGTCAGGGATCTGTCTTTTTAAAGGCGTCCTCTGCACCTTCGTGCAGACTTAGTTCCCATGGAACCTTGGGCTGACCAGGGTACTGTCTGTTCCACCAGGTAACAGGGGCAGGCCAGCATAATGTCTTTCAGATCGGGGTGGGGGTCAGGGGTTGTTGCTAATCTACCACAGGAACTTTGGAGGAAGAACCCAACGTGCTTGTCAGGTAATATAAGGAACATCAGGGATGCTGGGATTCCAAATAAACAAGGAATCCTGTTTTTAATATGAAAGTAGCCTGGGCGATTTGGAGACACACCTACACTGAAAGGTTATTTGTTGTGTATCTGAAATTCAAAGCTAACAGAGCGCCCTGTGTTTTTATGTCCTAATTCTGGCAGCCCTAATTCTAGAGCTCTGGTTTGCTTATTTGCCCTGACCTGAAAGTTGCAGGTCCGGCAGGCATCTCCTGTGGTCTGACTGGGATCTGATTCTGGAGTTCTCTCTCAGATTTTCTCAGCAGGAGTCATCGACCTCAGAAAACCACTGCCCTTCAAGTGCCTGTCCCTCCCACTGAGCAACTCCAGTCTCTACAAAGTTAACATCACAGAGTTAACCCCCACAGAGTTAACATCCTCCCAGCTCCATACTGGCAGGGTCACAGCCATGTTTAATATTTCTTTTTCTAGATCCCTGCACCATGTCCAGCACACACTGTGAGCTCAGCAAGCACGTGTTGAGCAGTGCATTAGTGGTATCTGCTCATTGCCCTTCCCACCTGCTGACACCACCCTCCTCTCTGAGGCTGTTCAGAGCACGCAGACAACCCTCCATGTGACAGTCCTTTGGATGTTTAGAATTTAAAATGTTGACACAGGAAAGTTCAAAGGTCCACCTGCCCACATTATAGACAGAGGCCAGGGCAGCCACGTGCTTTTCAAGACTGGAGAGTGTCAGCTCCATCACCATCTGCCTCATTGTTTTTCAGTTTCAAAAACTATTATCTCCGCATCTTCCTATTGAATTTCTTATATCCCATAACTTACACAGAGTTTTCTAGGGGTTTCTCTTTTCCCTTTAAGACGATGCTTTATGTATTTCTTTAAGTTTGTCATTACTAGCTAACTGATTTTGTGATAATGCTCTTTAAGTCAGAATTAAGGATATATTTAACTGGCCAGCAGTTTGTCCTGGGGAATTTTCCTATAAATTGTACTATAATGGTTTGGTAATTACAGCCTAAGAAAATTTCGAGTTACATGAGCAATTTCCTGTTTAGAGAATTAATATAAGTATGGAGGCTGGAGAGATGGCTCAGCAGTTAAAAGCATTTGCTACTTTGGCAGAGAACTGTCTTGTGATTCCTAGCACCCACAAAGTGGCTCACAACCATCTGTAACTCCAGTTCCCAGGGATCTGCAGACACCAGGCAATAATGCAGTGTGCCACACTCCTAACATAAAAATAATTTTAAAACAATACATGCTTTCAGACTAGGGATGTTTGGATAACACCTAAATGTTGTTTTTACATCCAAATGGTCAGATATAAAAGCCCAAAGGGTGGAGGGTAGGGGTGTGCCATATTACAGAATTAATCAGGGAGGACCCCTCAGAGGAAGTAGCTTTTTTAGCACATGCTTGAGAGAATTCGGGAGCCTCCGATTTCCGCATGTGTGTCTAGTCTAATTCTACTCCATCACTAAGTACTGAGTACTTATAAACATTTGTGGGGTTCTCTGACATGAGCAGGCAGCCAGAGGCTTCACGGTGGGAAAGTGAACTCCACTGTGCCTCCTCTCCCCCAGGCAAGCTGTTCAGAGGACATGGGCCGTTGGCTTGGGCTGCTGCTGGTGGAGATGGGCTCCAAAGTCACCCCAGAGGCGCTGCACTATGACTACGTGGATGTGGAGACCTTAACCAGCATTGTCAGTGCTGGGCGCAACTCCTTCCTGTAAGGGTGGTTCTGTGGCCTAACCCTGCCAGGGGATTCCTGCTTCAGCTCCATTTCCAGGCTCCATGTGCAGCCTTGAGCACTGGCTGGAAGGGGAGGGGCAAGCTCAGGAAGCCTGCTTCCTTGAGAAGGATGGTACCTTCACCAGTGTGGGGAAGCATAGCCTGCTTCCCTCCATCCTGAAACCTGTCTGTCACCTGACTTACAAAGGAGGGTGGGAATGAGCTACCTGTTGTCAGCTCGTGAGACTCATGCATGACTATACAGTCCTCCAGAGCACATGACCTTTCTTTCAATCTCTGTTAAAAACTGCTGCCAGGGGCTGGAAAGATGGCTCAGTGGTTAAGAGCACTGGATGCTCTTCCAGAGGACCCTGGTTCAGTTCTCAGCACCCACATGGCAGCTCACACCTGCCTGTAATCCCAGTTCCAGGGGACCTGACACCCTCACAGGGACATACATGCAGGCAAAACATCAGTGCACATAAAAATAAATAAAATTAGTATTAAACAAACAAACAAACAAACGCTGCCCAGCATCAAATGAGAGAAGACAGGAAGACAGTGTAAGCCACAATGTGTCACCAGCATCATTGTACCTTTCATGTTCTAGGTATGCACAGTCCTGCCAGGATCAGTGGCCTGAGCCCCGTGTCTACGATGAGGTTCCTTATGAAAAGGTGCAGGTATGGTCTAGTAATACCGCTTAGTAACATGCCAAAGGCAGTCCTTTGCTTCAGAGGAATTGCCTTCACTAAACCACCAGCTCTCAGTGGCATGCCCTGTGCCTTCTCCTGGGGAAGACAGGCACATTGGTGGCCTTGCATCTATAGAAGAAGGAACAAAGATGCTGAGGACAAGGCACATCTGTGAGCCAGGACCCTGCCTGGACCAGATGATACTTTGTGCCCTCACTTCCATGATCCCCCTTTTTTAGAAACATACCCAGCCTGCCCTTTTTTCCCAAGGTCTTTCTTGAATGCAACTTGAAGGTTTTGCTCAGTTGCAGAGAAGCTAGTAGCTGGGTGGTTTAGCACTTCAGATATAACTGTGTGGTGGCGCACGCCTTTAATCCCAGCATTCGGGAGGCAGAGGCAGGTGAATCTCTGAGTGCAAGGCCAGCCTGGTCTACAGGATGGCCAGAGCTACATAGTAAGACCCTGTCTCAAACAAACAAACAAACAAACAAACAAAAAGCCAAGCACTTCCGATATGAAAGCTGGAGTCAGAGGGACCTCCGCTTTGCTTTTCAAATGCCCTGCTTCCCACCTCCACATGGGTGTGTGGATCCTTCTCAGGAGTGTTTTGAGAACTAAATGAAATGATTCATCTTAGGAAAAAAGGAATGAAGAAGGAAGGAAGGAGAGGGGAGGGAGGGAGAAAGGGAGGGAGGAAGGAAGAAAAGAAGGAATTAGCACAGTGCCCAGCAGGTAGTGGGACATTCTGTCCAGAGAAATAACAGTGATGTTCCTAATAAAATGGTTAAAAGACACTAATGTATCACACCAAGACCCCGGCTGGACTTGGAGCATGGGAAATACTCTTCAAGCACAAATGCATCACTTCTGTCATTAGCTCCTCTCTTCCTTTTCCTCCTCTTCTGACAGAAGACTGTGTATTAGCAATTCAGAAACTAGAAGAATGCTTTCAAATGGTATGAGGACAAAAGGCCTGTAATAAAGACAGCCACCCAGTTTCCTGAGCCCTCTCATTTGTCTCTCAGTAAATACTCCATCTGAAGGTTGCCTTTTACCTCCCACAGAAAGGTATGAGGTTCAAATGGTTCAAATGGCACTGCTAGTGAAGGCAGGCAGTCTGCAAACTGTAGAAAGCTGCACAAATCTATATATGTAAGGCCAAGATCTCAAAGGTGCTGGCTGGAAGCTCCATGTCTGAACAGGTTGAACCCTGCCTGCACTTAATCTTCTTCCTCTGTCCCCCTTGCCCAGGATGAGGAGCCCCAGCGCCCTTCCGGGGCTCAGGTGAAGCGCCATGCCTCCTCCTGCAGTGAGAAGTCCCATCGTGTGGACCCACAGGTCAAAGTCAAGCGCCATGCCTCCAGTGAGTTCTGTAGTCTTTTCCTACTCAAGGGAGGTAGAGAAGAACACTGCAAGGGTCTCAATACCAGATTCCCAGGGGTAAGGTAGCAAAATGAGTAAAAGCAATCCAACGGTAAATACTCTACCCTAAGGAAAGTAATGGGAGCTGGGCAGTGTGGGAGCACTGGGACCTAAGGTCCCAGGACCCAGCATAGCAAGAGAAACAAAAAGGAAAGTAACAACACAAGCATGGTGGTAAGGTCAGAATGAATAGTGGAGGGAGGTTTGCAGAGAGGCTAGAGTGCTTAGGTCCTATTCCAGAGGTAGACCCTACTTGACTTACCCAGGAGACCTCACCTCACATTGATTATTCAAAATGCCAAAAATTAAACTTCATGTGAATTCTTTATTTTGAGATAGGTTTTCGCTGTGTAACCCTGGCTGTTCCAGAACTCACTCTGTAGATCAGGTTGGCTTAGAACTCAAAGATCTGCCTGCCTCTGCCTCCTGAGTGCTGGGATTAAAGGCCACCACCAAGTGGTGCATGTGAATTCTTAATATTAGCTGCTAATTAAAATGATTTTATACTGCATGAGTATTAGCTGTATAATAGTTTAGTGTTTAAAGGTATATAAGCATACAGAGGTATGTATAAGTGTGTGTGTGTGTGTGTGTGTGTGTGTGTGTGTGTGTGTGAGAGAGAGAGAGAGAGAGAGAGAGAG